CTGAAAGCAGTGAAATAATAGCAGAGTAATGTTCCAATGCCCTTAATTAAAAGAGAAGAGCTTTAAGCTATACTTAAAAACAAAACAGTGTGTTGTTTGGAATAATGGTGCTTAAGGAAAAGCAAGTCTAATTAGAGGAGGATGAAGACATTCCAAATGGGACTTGTAGCTACTTTCAAAGTCTTTAAAGCAGTGGCACTGATTCCTTTTGAACCCATATCTTTTCAGTGTTTCTATGCAAGTCTGGACCAATGACTCCCCCACCCTCACCCCAAGCTTTTAGCTTGGCCCACAAATGTCACAAACATGTAGAAATGGAACACAGGAAAGATTCTTAAGACAGACTGACAGAAAGTGGGAAAAGGAAGAAAACAAAGGCGTATCAAGGAGGGGGATTTCTCAGAGCAGAACTGAGAGTGCTGGGGGAGGGACAGGGAAAAGGAGAGTGATGTGAATAAGAGAATAAAGATCAAGATCGAGGGTGGCGTGGTGGGAGGAAAGAGAGGGAGAGACGGGAGTATTGCTGAATTTCGGCCTCTTTTTCACAGGTGCAGAATAGACATATGGAGCCAGAGTTTGGGGTGAAGCAGGAAAGAATTGCTTGATTGCTTTGCCAGCCAAAGGGAGACGCAGCAGGCTAAAGCCTTCAAGACTGTGACCCACCCTGGCTGGGTTACTGAGGAGTTCACAGTGTTCAAGGAGTAGGGTGGCTTCATCAGCTCATGGACAGTCTTCTGGATTCGCTGGTGGTGAGTAATCTAAAGTCAGCACGTCAACCTTCTGTCTCCAACCAGTCTGGCGTCTGCATGCTTGTGGGCAGCATATAGTTAAGTTTTTCCACCTGGTGGGGATTTCAGTATCTGCAAAGCAGCTCAAGGGACATGGCTCAGAATATTACCTAGAGTCCTTGAGGAAGAACTAACGGTCCTTGCATTTAATGACAAAAGTATTATTTTGTCAACCGGTTTCCTTTCTGCATTTTCTCCTTCTCCGATTAAATTTATTCTTTGATTAAAGTTTTTCTACAGACAAAAGGCAGGCAGGGTACATGGGTGAGGGTCTATTCTTGGAAGGCCTACAGGGTCCTCCAAGGGGAGGAAGACAGGAGCAAGCAGACAGTCTGTGTGCATCCTATAGGTGCAATCTCTTGTTAGGTGGTACAGAGGACTTCTGCTCTCAGAGGTCTTTATGCGGGGGCCAGAGTGGTGCTGTGGGCCTGGAAGTGCTTGTCTTAAGCGAGGGAAACCTGAAATCAGAACTCCTGCATACGCTTGTTCTTAACACAGCTGCACATTAGGTTCACCCCTGGGGGTTTAAAGCTGCCTGGACCTGCCCCACCTCCCAAAGATAGTACTTATTGGCCAAGGGAGAGGCCTGGGTGTTTATAAAAGCTCTAGGCAGTTCTGAGCTTTGGGCAGACAGGTTGAGAACCTCAGGGGAGGTCCAGAGACCTTGGCGATGGCTGGCAAGTTGTTCCTTGTGCTTGTGGGATGCTGTCGGTAAACCAGTGTCATCTTTAGGAGTGTAACTGTGTCAAAGTGCTGGCTTTTACCAGTCCCTTCCAGGAAGAAGCCCTCTAGGATGCTTGTCAGACTGACACTTAGCTCCAAGGTGTTCGAGCTCCTCAAAAGCCATAGTTAACCTGGAAAAATACAGCATCTAATAGAATTATCAAATAGCTCTTTCAACTACATTATACATTCTTCCTTTGTAAAACAAATACTCCTATTCCTTGTTTGATGAATTCTTCTGCAGCTCAGATACACAAAAAGGGAAGGAAACACCACAGATTCTATCAATTAATGTTGTCAAATTTCTTCAAACAAAACTCAGAGAATTCTGTTAGTGAAATTGGAGAATTCTGTTAGTGAAAAAAAAAAAGATAACTGCAACTGGATTTTTAAAGCAAGGGCCAAGCAAGTTGAAAGAAAAGATCTTTACTTCTAAGTTATTGTCATCATTACTATAGCTGTTTTTAAATGGAACACCGATTATATGTCAGACATCAGATTGGGTGAGTTATATAGGAAATCTTATTTCACACAACTATGTTTGCAGGATTCAAATGTTACTGCCAGTGATTACATAAGTTCACCTGAACATTTAAATGAGTTTTATTCTTATCCCTCAAGAAATCACTGTAGAACAGTGAAATCTTTGCCTGGATGTTAGAAGCCTGGGAGAATTTATTCATTTTTCAAAGTTGAAGTTTCTTTGCTTATTAAATGATGTGTTCAGAAGGATTGATTTTATAAATTTATGAAAATCATGGTAAGAAATAGTTGGATAAAACCATGAGCAATTGAGTGCAATATTAATATATTTTTGGTAGATAGTGTTTTACAATTCCCATTTCCATTATAAATGTTATTATTTTTGACTCTCACTTACAGCTCCCTTGTGAAGTAAGTGAAGTAGATATCACCTTCCCATCCCTGGGAGGAAGTCTGGGAATGTCACTCTTCCTTAATAAATTCTACAGAAAAGGCAGTCAGTGTTTGTCTTCTTTCTTGCAGGGTGAGGCAGTGGGAAAAGTAAATGAAAGTTTCTATGACTGCTAAAACAAATACATAAAGAAATGCAAAAGCTTGACTTTTTCACTATGCATTCAAACATTTTACAAATTTTCATTTTACTAAAGAAAATCATGTGAATTGTTCCTCTCTAAAATACTCTACTTGAAAAGGCAATTCAGTCTCCTAGCAACCAGCACTTCTCCAAATGAGAAAAAATGTCTGGAGGAACGGAGAAACTTCAATTACACGCAATGAATGGAGTAGAATTCTCATGAGCCTGGAAGAGAATCATAAAGGGTATCTTAGCCCATTTCCATTCTCCCAGTGTCAGCTTCTGAAATCCTCTGAGGCTCCAAACAGGGTCACCACCAAGGTCAAGTGTAGTGGCCTACCTTATGCCTATGCCTCTGTTGAGGCCCCTTTCTTTCCCAATCCCTTGGTGTTTTCTTTGCCCTTACTGAAGAAGCAGCATTTTATAACCAAGGTCTGGAAATCCTCTGGGGCACTGCAGTTCAAAATCATGAGGTTTGTATGGCAATTTAATTTTAAATTTTAATTTACTTAACTAAAATAAAACTAAAAGACAGTTCCTCATTCATGCAAGTCATGTTTTAAGTGCTCAGTAGTCTCATGATGTAATGGCTACCGTGTTGGACGGCCAGAACTTGGAGGATTTCCATCACTGCAGAGTTGGATGCTGTGTCCCCATCCCTCCCCCACTGCTCTGCTTATGGATTCAGATGAAGAAACTACAGTCAGGAAGACTGGATGAAGTGCCTCAGTATTATCTCCAAGTTTCACCTTCATCTTGAAATTTTTCTCACTGTATTTCTACATTAGATATTGATAGTTTCTTTTCCTGTAGTCCTCTCCACTTGGGAAGAATCATTTTAATAACTAGTTTGCTATGTATGAATTTGACTAGGGATTACAGAGGGGAAGAATGTGATAGGACAAGCATCTTTTTGCAGTCAAGCAATTGATGTTTCCTACAGATTTAAATCTGAAGGTTCACAGCAGCAATAGGAATATCTGGCCACAAGTAACAAAATTCTCCCTCACGATAACTCAGTGCTGAGCATGTAATTATTTTGGTTCCTCTGTATTTACCTGGAAAAAGGTAATGCTGGCATTTATGCTTGGGATGAGCAAGGACTTCGAGACAGGTTGGGATTTTCTCCTGGATTCCCTAATCTCTTTTTCTTTTTTCTCCTTGTGCAAGGCCTTAATCTGCTATCTCAGTGCTCCCTCTAGTAAAAGAGCTTCCTGCCTTGGAAGCGAAGAGCAAGCAGAGAGGAAGGGCAGCAATCCTGGGCTTGCTCGCTTCTGCATGGATGCTCCAGGGCACCAGACAGCAGGACTAAGCAGTGAAACATCCAGCCCGGAGCACCACTAGTGCAAATGCCCCAGCTGGACCGCCACTGGCCCATGGCTCTGCTGGGCTCCCTCTCCAGAGTGCATACTCTTCTTGACAACACTGTCCATTTTGGATGGAGGGGCTTCTTCACCTGCCGAAACAGATAACTAGTCACAGAAACTTCTCACACTGATGTTTTTCCTCTTGGTTCCGTGGTTTTCATAGGTAAGCCCACCTTTGTAAAAATGTGTCCTATGCCACCATAAAACAGTTCGGGGTTGATATTCACTTTTCCATACAATTGAAAATTCTCTACTCAATAAATATTCTTTGCACACATATATACATCTCCCAAAGTCTTTTAACTTAAAAAGTAGATGTCAGCTTGAGAAGTGTAGAAGAAACTGAAGCAAGAGATCTCTGACACCTTAATCTCGTCTACATAACTGAAAGTGTGGCTCCTGGGAAAAAGCCGACTAGCAGGGCTCCGTGGGCTCCAGTTCCCGTAAGACGCCGCCAGGACTTACTCAGACAGCAAAGCCAGGGGATGGAGTTTACCGACATGATGGGCAGCTGGGCAGCACCGTGTTTCTGGTCACGAGGAATCAGTGTGAGGTTAGAATCCAAGCAAGAACTGAGCCGTAGCCTAGCGGAGGCTGAAACACTCCTCTTTTCACATGGCTGTAACACGCAGAGAGGAGACAAGGGCAGAGAAAACCAGATGCACAGACCCCATGGAGAGAGTACACCATTGTTAAGTCAGTGATGTTGTTTCCTTAGTAGCTAGAGCTCCGGAGCAAAGGGAAGGCGCAAAAACCACCTTTGGGGAAATCAGTGAATAAAGAAGAATCATAAACAGTCACAAGACTGAGTTTGGTGACTTTATTTTCATGCAAGTCAGTGTCATACTCAAGCCCCTGTTTCTGCCTGGCAGTAGGAAAAAACCATCCTGCCAGCTCAACAAAACTCAGTCATTTCTGGTTTGAAATAGAGTCTGGCCAAGAATTAAATAAATTTTCCTGGGCCCGCCCCCTTCACACGCACGCACATGCACACACACACACACACACACACACACACACACCCCTCTGGGCATGTACGCACCTTCCTCCTGAGGGGGCTCCAGGATGCTGCTTTCCTGCGGCTCAGGCAGTCACAGGGTCATTGGGGGAGCTGTCTGCGCCTCCAGCTCCAGATGGGAGCTCAAGGTAGCCCCCTGTGTTTTTGGAGCCTTACACACACTGGGGGGGTCAAGGAAGGGGTCCCAGAGAGGTCATTTTCTTGGTATCTAACAGCCTTTGCACTGGCTCATCTTCTCCATTCCTGGCTCTCCCTTCTCCAGGGAGGTATCTCTTCCCAGTGTGGAGGCAGACCAAGTGCATCATTGTGCGTTCTTCTTTGTCATTTGATTTACAGCGTGGACTCAAGGTCCAAGTGCTCCACTTTCCAGGCCATTGGAAACACAAATCCTTGTCTCTCTTAACAAAGCCCAACTCCTGAAAGTGAATGTCTTGCTTCCTCGTTTGTTGTTTCTGTTAAAGATTTACAAAAATTAATTTAGTGCTTTAAATGAGGTCTTGTTCTAAGTCTTACTCATCCTCCTCCTGGAAACAAAGACTGCCATTGATTCGTCGGGTGGAGAGCCTGGGGCAACTCCACCGGAAGCTGTGAGGAATCACAGAATGAAGACATCATTTCCTGGACCAAATACAATGCCATGATGATGGTGATCATGATAATTATCACATATTAAACTTTGATATTTGCCAGGCTCAAAGTCCTTTGCCTGTCTCCTGTGATCTATTTATGCTGTGCTTAGTCACTCAGTCACGTCCAAATCTTTGTGATCCCATGGACTGTAGCCCACCAGGCTTCTCTGTGCATGGGGATTATCCAGGCAAGAATACTGGAGTGGCTAGCCATGCCCTTCTCCAGTGGAATCTTCCAAATCCAGGGATCAAACGCAGGTCTCCCAAATTGCAGGCAGATTCCTTACCAGCTGAGTAACCAGGGAAACCCAAGAATACTGGAGTGGGTAGCCTATCCCTTCTCCAGAGATCTTCCCAACCCAGGAATCAAACCACAGACTCCTGCATTGCAGGTGGATTCTTTACCATCTGAGCTACCAAGGAAGTACATCTATTGGTAAAGCAGGCATTGTTCCCATCCATATTACTGATGAAGAAGCCAAGTCTCAGGGAGCCTGGGAAACATGACTGGGATTGTTCAGTCTGGGGCTAGAGGAGAAAGGATGTGCAGCCCTGCAATCTGAGCCCAGGGCCCCTGTTCAGAACCTCCACATGCTTCTTCCTTCCTGGGTGTCCTAAACGTCCTCCAAACCGTGGGACAATGAAAAGAATTATTAAAGCACTTTCTCCGTATAGTATTAACTATGTACTTTTTCATGCTTTGAAAGAAAAGATAATGCCCCAGAAAAAAAATCTGTTAGAGCACTCAAAAATAACTCAAAAATAACTAAAAAGCTTTTAGTTATATTACTTTCATATGAAAAAAACTGATGAAAGTAGTCTAAAAATGAAACTATTAATGTGAGATAACAGAATATATGTAGTTTGGTCTCTGCCCCAAGTTCCTGGCCCAGAACTCCTAAAATTCTTGTTAATTCCTATGTGATGAGGGCACTAGGAGCACATTTTGCTCTAATGAGGTAAGTCTGGGTGGGCTTCTGGATGGGGGCTTCTCACAGAAAGACCAAGCCGTGATTAGAAGCTTGAAACTTTCAGCCCCACCCTCACTCCCAATTTCTCAAGAGAGTGGGGAGGGACTGGAAATGGAGGCAATGGTCCATCGTGCCTATGAAGCTTCTAACTATGGGCTTCTGAGAGCTTTCAGGTGGGTGAAGAGATTCACATACCAGAATGGTGATGCAACCCAAATCCATAGGAACAAGCTCCTGCGCTTTGTATCCTCCCAGACATCTGTGTATCTCTCTACCTGGCAGTTCATCTGTGTTATTGTTGTTCAGTTGCTAAGTAATGTCTGACTCTGAGACCTCATGGACTGCAGCATGCTAGGCTTCCCTGTCCTTCACTGTCTCCTGGAGTTTGCTCAAATTCATCTCCATTGAGTTGGTGATGCTATCTAACCATCTCGTCCTCTGATATCCTGTTCTCCTTTTGCCTTCAATCTTTCCCAGCATCAGAGTCTTTTCCAATGAGTTGGTTCCTTATATTAGATGGCCAAAGTATTGGAGCTTCAAATTTAGCATCAGTCCTTCCAATGGATATTCAGGATTGATTTCCTTTAGGATTGACAGGTTTGTCAACTGATAAATATCAGTTCAGTTTAGTTCAGTCACTCAGTTGTGTCTGACTCTTTGCGACCCCATGGACTGCAGTGCGCCAGGCTTCCCTGTCCATCACCAACTCCTGGAGCTTGCTCAAACTCATGTCCATCGAGTTGGTGATGCCATCCAACCATCTCATCCTCTGTCGTCCCCTCTCCTTCAGACTTCAATCTTTCCCAGCATCAGAGTCTTCCAGTTCTTCGCATCAGGTGGCCAAAGTATTGGAGTTTCAGCTTCAGCATCAGTCCTTCCAATGAATATTCAGGGCTGATTTATTTTTAGGATTGACTGGTTGGATCTTCTTGCAGTCCAAGGGACTCTCAAGGGTCTTCTCCAATACCACAGTTCAAAAGCATCAATTCTTTGGCACTCAGCTTTCTTTATGTAAATAACCCATAAAGATTATTGGAATAATCTTCCCACTAATTAACATATGAAATTACCCCAGATGGGACAGTGATAAGGTAAGAAATGTTTAGAGTCAGGTCTTGGTCCTAAAGAGGTCCGTGGGACACTGTGACCCAGGTGTACAGAGGAAAACACTGCTGATGTCTGCTTATTTGTGACTGGCAGGTCAATTCTGTGTGCTTATGCATGTCCAACAGGAGCAGGTCCAGGACAAAATTATACTGTTTTCTTTGATAAATATAAGTGACTGATAAATATAAGTCACTGTTTTCCTGAGTTCTGTGAGCCACTCTAGCAAATAAACTAAACTAAGAAGGGCACCCTGGGCACTTCTAGTCCATGGCTGAGGCACAACCTGGCCTTTTGATTGGTGTCTGACGTGAGGTGGGGCTGACTTGTAGGACCGAGTCCTCGCCTTGCAAGATCTGATGCTCTCTCCAGGTAGATTATGTCAGAACTGAGATAAATTCTAGGACATCTAGCTGGTATCTCAGAGAATTGCCTGATGATGGGGGAAATTCCTACACATTTGGTAATCAGGAGTGAAGTGTCTTCTGTGAGTAGTAAAAAAGACACAAAAGAGAAATATAAGATTTTTCAAATACAATAATGATAATTTTCTGGAGCCCACATTTGACTTGTATATCTGTGCCTGCCTGAGGCACAATATTCCTAAAGATATCTACATTACTAAGAGGGGCACACACTACTACTAGCTTCACCTACTAGTATCTTATACTTGACTGTTTCACAGATATTATTTGCTGGTTCCTGAAGATATTTGAGTTGACACTCTTCACTCATGATGGTAGTTGTGTAATCAGAAATTCAATTTATTAGATTCTTTTCATTTGTGGATACAACTCAAAGTATGTAAACTGTTGCTCTTTTAAATTTTATTAACTACAGGTTTTAAATCCTGTTCATGAGAAGATGTCATGTGGGGCCACCAGAGAGTTAGTCTGCCAGTCACCAGCACCTACATCTCCCAGTTTGGTTCTTTAGTTGTGAAGGTAGACTCTTCTACATATGAGGAGTGAAACATAAACTGTCAGGATAGCCATACGTGTGGAGGGTCAGAAATGTCTTGATATGTGTCAACAATCACCTACTGCAGCCAAGTAAGGCTTCATCTAGAATCTTTTAAGCTATTAGAAATGAACACTTGCAAACAATAAGAACTAGCTCCAAGAGACAAGAAACTATGCAAACACAAAAAAAGAAAGCCTAAAAAATTCAGTGTCAGATGTTTCGTGTATTAAGAAACTGCCCCATATACCTAAGCAGACCCTGGGAGCACTGGGGAATTGAGGAATCAGTGATGTTTCTAATTGTATCACAGATTCATTACAGAAAGTTTAGGTTCAGCAGACTTTAAAAGGCAAGAAGCAACTATTTTATTAAAATATATATACCAAAATTATATTAAAAATCATGAAAGGTATTTTCCTGTGAAATGGGGCCAACTATAATTATTTAGAATTTACTCCATCCCTTGACAATATTTGGTTGGATAAATCATCTATTTGCCTATACCAGTTTTGCAAAAGAATTTAAAAAACAGGGCAAAATGTCTTCCTACCATATGGTCTTTGCAAACTGTCTGCCCTTGGGAGATTTGTAAATGTGAGAATGAATATGCAGAAAAGAATTCAATGTGTGGGAGTGAAGGACCTTTCTTATAGTTTTAGAAAAAGAACTATACCCAATACACAGGGTAGCTACCAAAGAGCCCTTGGCTGGTGCTTTGTGCATAGTTAATAGAATGTCTGTGCCTGACTAACAGCCTTTGCCAAGGGACAGGGGCTGAATTTTCTGTGGGCAAACTAGGAAAATCTGAGCTAAGCAAATTTGTTAAACTATGGTGGTGTGTATGTTGAAGGCAGGGAATGAAGACCTCTGGTGCATTATTATACTCCATTAAAATCAGAAAATTGGAATTGTCAGGTCTGTTTTATGGACTCCAGACAACATCTCCACATGCCCATATATAGTAAAGAGATACATTCTCATTAATAGGCAGGAAATGAAAACTCTGTGACCTGAATAATGTTAATTAGCTGCTGCCAGCATAACAGGTGAAGAACTATCTCTACTATGTCTGGTCTATTGTTTTCATCTGATGGAGGATGTTGGAGGAGGCAGGTTTTTAGCGCGAAACAGAAACATGGAAAAAGAGAAGGCAAAGGATGGCCAGTGGGTCTTGGGAGCACCTGGGCCTTGTTTATATCAAAAGGGGGTTTGGCAGTTTTTGTCAATATCCATGTTATATGAATTTCAATATTTATGCTGATGTTAGTAAGACTATCTCGTATATATAAAAAAAGCAGTTGCATGGCTTACCACCCAGTGGTTTATAATTTTTGCCACTTTATCCCAGGGTTGTACGGAAACTGTATGGGAATTTTATCTGCATAGCAGATGGCAGAATGTGGAAAGCTGGCAGTTCAGATGAACAGCTTGTGATGTTAAAGACTGGAAATTGCAAAACAA